TGAGATCAAAGAAAGATGAAAAACAAAACTATTTTGCTGAATGTAGAGCTGCTGATCTTGTCTATTAACCTTCACTAACAATAAAAAGTTAAATTAAAAAAAAACAACTTTATAGTCTTGGAAACTCTGCACAGGGCCGCTCTGAGTTTGAACCGGCTTGATGGCAGTGGGTATGATTCGGGGTGAATTGCCAACCCCAATCCAAAGGCCAGGTTTTCTACTTTATAGATACACAACTTGGAGCAAGTCGCCTTTTTTGTCTGAGTCCCAGTTTGCCCAGCTTCAAAATGTGAATGTTTACACCCAATACACACATTCTGGTATTTCTCCATTCTCACGAATTGTTCCACCACTTGTCCGTCAGTCTGTTACACTCTGGTGGTTTGTGGGTTGCTGTAATGCTGAAAGCTATGCCACTGGTATTTTAAGTATCAGTAGGGTTACCCAAAGTGCACTGCTTTTAGCGGAGCTTACGGACTAAGACAGACTAGGAAGAAGGACAGGTGGACTCCTTCTGAAGAGTTAGCCACTGAAAAGCTTATGAACAGCAACAGAACTCTCTCAGCTCTAATACCTAAATATGAGCCCCTCAAGTTGGAAGGCACTGAAAATATGGCTGAGGAAGAGCTGCCTCCTCAAAGTAGAGTAGATCAAAATGACATTAGAGCAAAGCAATCGGAACCTTCATTTGCTGATGGGGCACAACTGAAAATGAGGAGATTCAATCATAATTGCAATGTTGGTTGGTTGGTTGGTGGGTTATGTGCCGTGGAGTCAGTTATGACTCATAGCGACCCTGTACAGGATTTCTGAGGCTATAAATCTTTACGGGAGCAGAAAGCCTCATCTTTCCCCCGTGGAACAGCTGGTAGTTTTGAACTGCTGACCTTGTGGTTCACAGCCCGATTTGTAACCACTATGCTAACAGGAGCTCTGGTAACGTAGTGGTTACGAATCCAGCTGTGAACCTCAGGGTCAGCAGTCGAAACTACCAGCTGTTCCGCGGGAGAAAGATGAGGCTTTCTGCTCCCATAAAGATTTACAGCCTCAGAAACCCTGTACAGGGTCGCTATGAGTCAGAACTGACTCCACGGCACACCACCACCACAACAACGCTAACAGAAGCTCCTTAATTGGAATGTGGAACATATGAAATGTGAATATAGGAAAATTGGAAGTTGTCACAAATGAAATTAAACACATAAAGATTGCTATCCTTACTAGGCATGAGTGAGCTGAAATGGACTGGTAACTAGCTATTTTGAATCAAGCAGTCATTTGGATTATTATGCCAGGAACTACAAACTGAAGAGAAATGCTGTCAATAAAGACATTTCAGGATCTATCTTGAAAAACAATGCTGTCTGTGATAGAATAATATCTACACACCTATAAGGAAGACCTGGTAGTATAGTGGTTACAAATCGGGCTGCGAACCGCAAGGTCAGCAGTTCGAAACTACCAGCTTCTCAGCAGGAGAAAGATGAGGCTTTCTGCTCCCGTAAAGATTTACAGCCTTGGAAACCCTGTACAGGGTCGCTATGGGTCGGAATCGACTCGATGGCACTTAACAACAACAACAACATAAGGAAAACCGGTTAAATACCACTATTATTCAAATTCATGCACCAACCACTAAAGCCAGCACTGATTAAACTGAAGAATTCTAGCACCTTCTCCAATCAGAAATTGACCAAGCTGCAATCAGGATGCATTCATAATTCCTGGTAATCGGAATGTAAAAATTGGAAACAGAGGAAGGATCAGGGTAGTTGGAAAATATACTTTTGGTGATAGAAATGATGCTGGAAACCACATGACAGAAGGTTGCAAGACCAATAATTTATTCACTGCAAATAGTTTTTAAAAATAACATAAAAGGCACCTGGATCTCACCAGATGAAATACACCTGTGGGAAGAGACAGTGGCGAGAAGTTCGGTAGCATCAGCAAAACAAGGCCAGAGACGGACTGTGGAACCATCAATTATTAATATGAAAGTTCAGCTGAGGTTGAAGAAAATTCAAACAAGTCCACAAGAGCCAAAATCTGACTTTTAATATCTCCCACCTGAATCTAGAGACCATCTCAAGAACAGATGCAAAGCACTCATTAGACACTAATGACCAAAAGCCCAAACTGTGAGATGGCATCAAGAATTGTGGGATGACATCAAGAACATCATGTATGAAGAAAGCCAAAGTTCATTTAAAAGACAGGAAAGAAAGAAAAGAATTAAATGGACGTCAGAAGAAACTCCGAAGCTTGCTCTTGAATGTAGAGAAACCAGAAGAAATGAGGAAGTAAAACAGCTGAACAGAACATTTCAAAGAGCAGCTAGATAAGACAAAGTATTATAACGAAATGTGCAAAGATCTGAAGCTAGAAACTCAAAAAAAATTTCAGACCTCGGGTTGCAATATTGAAGGATTCTTTATGGAATAAATAGCGAATGATGAAGGAAGCATCAGAAGATGGTAGGAATACACAGAGTCACTGTATCAAAAAGAATTGGTCAATGTTCAGCCTTTTCAAGAGGGTGCATATGATCAAGAACCATTGGTATTCAATCAAGGAAGAAGTCTAAGCTTCACTGCAGACACTGTCTGAAAACAAGGCTCCATGAACTAACTGAATACAAATACTTTCAATAAACTGATGTAGTACTGGAGGCAGTGACTCATCTATGCAAGAAATTTGGAAGACAGCCCCTTGGCCAACCAACTAGAAAAGATCCATATTTGTGCCCATTCCAAAGAAAGGTGACCCAACAATATCAGTAACATTACATGCAAGTAAAATTTTTCTGGAGATAATTCTAAAATGGTTACAGTTGTACATCGACAGGAAGCTGCCAGAAATTCAAGCCAGATTCAGAAGAGGCCATGGAATGAGGGTATTGTAGCTGATGTCAGGTGGCTCTTGACTGATGATTACTTGTACTTTATTGGCTAGGCAAAGGTCTTTGACTGTGTGGATCATAACAAACTATGGATGACTTTACGAAGAATGGGTATTCCAGAATACTTTAATGTGCTCATGCGGGATCTGTACATCGACCACGAGACAGTCATTCAAATAGAACAAGGGGACACTGAATGGTTTAAAATCAGGAAAGGTTGTGTGCCGGGGTTGTATTCTTTTACCAAACTTATAGACAGTCCACCTCTTGTTCAGCTGAGCAAATAATTTGAGAAGCTAGACTATATGAAAAAGAATGTAGTATAAGGATTGGAGGAAGACTCATTAACAACTTGCTGTATGTAGATGACACAACCTTGCTTGGTGGAAGCAAAGAAACCTTAAAATACTTAGTGATGAATATAAAAGACCACAGCCTTCAGTATAGATTCCACCTGGATATAAAGAAAACAAAATCTTTACAACTGGGCCAGTAAATAACATGTTATCAAAGTCTTCATTTTGTTTGGATCCATAATCATACTCATGGAAGTGGTAGTCAAGAAATCAAAAGACATAATGCATTAGGTAAATCTGCAAAAGATCTCCTTAAAGTGTTCACGAGCAAAGACATCAGTTTGAGGGCTAAGGTACCCTGTCCCAAGCCAATGTATTTTAAATGGTATGGTGCTGGAGGATAAACACTGGACTTTAAGGTCAGTTTGAAAAGCAACGTGGACAGTTCACACCCACCAGTCGCTCTTAAGAAACCCTATACAGTCAGAAGTGACTTGATGGCACTTAATAACAACCATGTATATGCATAGTTGTTACGAATTGGGCTACTAATCTCACAGTTAGCAGTTGGAAACTACCAGCTGTTCCGCAGGAGAAAAATGTGGCTTTCTGCTCCCGTAAAGATTTACAGCCTTGAAAACTCTGTACAGGGTCGCTATGAGTCGGAACCGACTCCATGGCACAGAACAACAACATATGAAAGTTGGACAATGAATAAGGAAGACAGTAAAAGAATTCATGAATTGAATGACGATGATGGTGAATGAACATCGTTGAAAGTACCCTGGACTACTAGAAGAACAAAGCAACCTGTCTTGGAAGAAGTAAAGCCAGAATGTTCCTTAGAAGGCAACATGGCAGGACTTCACCTCTCCTACTTAGCCATGGAGTCCTGGTGTGGCACTGTAGGATAAGCCCTGGGCCATATGGTCAGTTTCAACCACGAGATCGTCAGTTCAAACTCACCAGGCATTCTCGGAAACCCTAAACAGTTGCTCTGGGTTGGAACCAACTCAACACTTAACAGCGTCAGCCATGCTATCAGAGGGACCAGTCCCTAGAGAAGGACATCATGCTTGGAAAAACAGAAGGTCAACTGAAGAGTCCGACCTCCCCATGAGACGGACTGACACAGTGGCAGCAGCAATGGGCTCAAAAGGAACAGTAATTGTGAGTGAGCATGGAGCAGGATCCCACAGTATTTCCTTCAGTTGTGCAAAGGGTCGCTATGAGTCGGAACCAACTCGAAGGCACCTAACAACAATAACAACACTGTCACTCTCCTAATCCACAATGACTGCCAAACTCTCTCAGCTTCAGGTTTCTTATGTTTTTCTAAATGGGAAACAGGAGTTCTCAATCCTGCCTTAATTGTCACGGCTGTTTCAGGACTTCATCATAAAATAACCGACTCCACGGCACACCAGCACCACCATCAACAAAATAAAGAAGGGACAAGACGTCTATGCAACGCTGGAACACATTGTGTGAACTACACACAATTCTCCCCTTCACCCTACGCCAATATTAGTAACCTGCGCCTCCTACCGATCGCCGCCGCCTTAGTTTCTCCGAGTCAGCCAAATGGCCTGCGCCTGCGCCAAATAAAAGTCTTCACGCCCGCTTCTTGGAGTACGACTTCGCTGGTTTAGCCACGCCTACTTCCGGATGTGGCCAGGGTAGGTTGGGCCACGTGACTTCCTTCCGGGTTGTCCAAGATGGCGGCGCCCAGAGAGAGAGCGTGAGTTTTGGTGGTGGAAAGCCACTGTCCGGTTGTGACAGATTTAGGAGATTGAGGACCAGGCGCCATGTCACGACTGATCGTGAAGAACCTCCCGAGTGGGGTGAGTGTAGTGACTGAACTTGGGGTATGAAACTCGGGCCAGCACGGAGCAGGAGGGGGCGGTGCCTGCTGAGAAGACTTGAGCTTTCGCTCTGGATCAGAACTCCATGTATCCCCATTGTCAACTGGAGTGAGATAATGACTGCTCCGAAGAATACTTCTAATTCTCACTCTCGTCTTTCGATGGACTCTCTAACTCTAGGGCAAGTGGTGGTGTGCTGTCGAGTCGATTCCGACTCATTAGCTACCCTGTGATACGGTTTCCAAAGCTGCACATCTCTACGGGGGCAGAAAGCCTCTACTTTCTTCGGCGGAGTGCCTGATGGACTCGAATTGCCGACCTTGTGGTTAGTTAGCAACCCATCTTGTTACTCAATGTACTACCAGAGCGCCTTTAGGCAAGTGGTGGTGGTGGTGGTTGCGTGCTATACAACCTAATGGACACATGTTGTTGTTGTTGTTGTTGTTGTTGTTGTTGTTAAGTACTGTGGAGTCGATTCCGACTCGTAGTGACCCTGCACAGGGTTTCCGAGTCTGTAAATCTTTACAGGAGAAGAAAGCCTCATGTTTCTCGAACTGTTGACCTTGAGGTTAGCAGACGCACTCTTAACCACGACTATTCGAGGACTTCTTTAGGGCGAGTAGGAGTAATTTAAGAAAACAAATGGCATGTGAAAAACTTTAAGCTGTTTTTTCACTAAGTAAATAGCCCAGTCTTGCTTGTCTCTGTTGTTGTTAAGTGCCGAGTTGGTCAGACTTCTGAGTGACCCTGTCTAGGGTTTCCGAGGAGTAGCTGGTGGGTTTGAACTACCACCCTTGCGGTCCAGCGCATTATCCTTGAGCAGCGTACCAGGACTCCTCTGTTTAGTTACTAGCAGTTGCTGCAGTTGGTACATGACAAGCAACAGAAATGGGTGAATGTTTCAGATGATTGGGTGCAGTACCACCTGAGCGGATCATTACCGGATTTTTTTTGTAACTGCCTTTGGAAGGAGAGCTTCTACACCATGTGGTGCTGGGTAGTAACTCAAATCTACTGCCATCAACTCGATTTGTACTGTCAGCAACCTTATAAAACAGAATAGAATGGCTACTAGACTTTGTTTAGTTAATGGAGCAGACTGCCTCATCTTCCCATGGAGCAGCTGGTGGGTTTGAACTGCCAACCTTGCTATTACCAGCCCAATGTGCCATTTGGATGGTATGTGTACTCTTGACTTTGCCCCTTGGGAATATCTCAGAGTAGAAGAGTGGGCCAGAAGTCACATCTATTGTTGTGTTGTGTTTTAGTTTTTTAAATTCTGGTGTGTGGGGATATCTTTCCTACCCTCCATCTCTCTCTCCAGGAGTATGCTGCTTTGATGGTTGGTTTTGTCTCAGATTTCTCACAGACATCTCTGTAGAACCAATAATATGCTCACTCCTCTACCCCTTGAGACCTCCCCATACTAGAAAAGATGAGGAACCTACTTCAGTTTTCACCCTCTGTTGTTGTTAAGGAGCTCTGGTAGTGTAGTGGCTACAAGTTGGGCCGCTAACTTCAAGGTCAGCAGTTCTGCAGAAGAAATATGAGACTCTGTTCCCGTAAAAATTTACAGCCTTGGAGACCATATTCAGGGTCACTGTTGAGTCGGAACCAACTCCACGGCACGTATACACCACCACCTGCTGTTGTTAAATGCCGTCGAGTTGTTCTGACTCATAGCCACCTGTATAGGTTTCCTGAGGAGTGACTGCAGTTAGCAGTCCAGTGCGCACCACACCTACATTCCTCCATATGGTCTGGTGGTAGTGGTGATGGAGTGCCCTCGAGTCAGTTCTGACTTTTGTAATTCTCACCCTAAACCTAGGTTCAGTCTTGTACCTGTGTTAAAGTTTAAAAATTCTGAGGTACAGTGACTTGCATTTATGTTTCTTGTTGTTAAGTGCCATCGAGTCATTTCCAACTCATAGTGACCCTGTGTAAGGTTTCTGAGGAGCGGCTGGTGAGCTTAAACTGCCGACCTTAAGGTTCAAACTGACCTTATGGTCGAATGCTTATCTAGAGGTCACACCAGGACTCCTACATTAGCCCCCTTATAATCCTGAGTAATCTTCCCATCTTCAGTATCCTCAATTTAATCATACCTAGAACGTCCCTTTTTGCCACGTAGGATAACATAGTCAGGGACTAGGACACAGACATCAAGGGGTAAGGCATTATTTTTCTACCACATTAGCAGCCACTTACATAGCTTACCACCTTCGTTCATTTAGTCTGAGCAGCATTTATTAACTGTCCAGTGTGGATCAACTAGGGAGCTCTGGTAGCGTAGTGGGTATGAGTTGGGTTGCTAACCTCAAGGTCAGCAGTTCAAAACTACCAGCTGTTCTGCGGGAGAAAGATGAGGTGTTCTGTTCCTGTAAAGGTTTACCGCCTTGGAAACGCTGTACAGGGTAGCTATCTACGAGTTGGAACTGACTGCACGGCATATAACCACCACCACTGTGAATCATCTGGTGTGGTGCTGTAGGAACAGTACTGGACTTTGAACCACACGGTCAGCAGTTCAAAACCACCAGCTGCTCCTCGGAAACCTTACACAGGGTCGCAATGAGTCCGAACATGCTTGACAGCACTTAACAATGACAACATGAATCAACTGTGGTGCTGGTAGCTTATTGGTTATGAGTTGCGTTGGTTCAAATCTGCCAGCCGCTCTGCCGGAGAAAGATGAAGCTTTCAGCTGCCGTAAGTAAAATTTACAGCCTTGGAAGCCCTATATAGGGTTGCTGTGAGTCTAAACTGACTCCATGGATCATCACCATCACCACCACCACGCAGCCAAAGGAGACCTTGTGGCGCAGTGCTTAAGTGTTGTGCTACTAACCACAGGTTCAGTCCCCAGCCGCTCCACGGGGGGAAAAGGATGTGGCAGTTGACTTCTGTATAGATCCCCACGGAGCAGTTCTACTCTGCCCTGAAGGGCACTGTTGAGTCGGAATTAACTCATGCGCAAGCGCACTGACTGTGGGTATCGGGCAAGATGCTGGGTTCCTTTTATAGTTGGTCTTTCTCAGAACACCCCTGGGGTAGGGACATAGTATTGCAGCCATCCTGACTCATGCTTTCTTCATCAGTGACTTGGGTCAGGGACTTGTTCGAGGCCAGAGAAGCAGTAAGTGTTAGAGCCAGATCATGAGCTCCGTCTAACTCCAGAGCATCTGCCCACTTCCTCATCTAAGGGCACCCTTGGGGAACCCTGCTGCCTCCCATCTCCCGTTCATTTTGTGTCCTTATCTGGGGACATCCCGAAACCTCCCTCATTGGCACCCCTTCTGTCTTAGATGAAGGAAGAGCGTTTCAAGCAGCTGTTCACCGCCTTTGGCACACTGACAGACTGCAGCTTGAAGTTCACCAAAGATGGTAAATTCCGCAAGTTTGGCTTTATCGGCTTCAAGTCTGAGGAAGAGGCTCAGACGGCACTGAACCATTTTAACAAGAGTTTTATCGACACAGCCCGGATCACGGTGAGTTGACTCAGGCCCCACCCTTGCCTGCTTGTTCAAGGTGACATCAATCGATGCTGTGCTCAATACTGGGCCCAAAAGACTGTCATCCCTTTTCAGACTTGACCACTAGGGTTATTGATATCAGAGGTTCACAGACTCACAGGCGAAGAATCACCTAGATAACTTGTTAGAACAGTCTCCTGGACTCCATCCCCAGAGCTTCTGATGTGGGAAAGTGGGAGAGGTGACAAGAATATGCATTTCTTTTCTTTTTTAAGTTTTAGTTTTGAATAGAGAGAGAGCTTACATGGGAAAACATCAGTTTTACACTTACTGTCTCATTGCAATGATTATAATCTCCTCCGTGCATCAACAATATTGCTTCTATCCTCTCTGTGGTTTTTTTTTTTGATGAACACACAACCAAAGGGCATGTTCTGTAAGCCTGCCTCCTGGCCTCCAGCACGCAGCCTTTCTCTTTCCTTGAGTTTAGAGTCCTCAGCTGCTGTCTCTCTCCATGTCCTCTTCTCTGCCTTCCAAAAATGTGCGTTTCTAACAAGCTGACAGGTGATGCTGATGCTGCTGGTCCAGAGACCATACTTGGAGAACCACTGGTCTGTATCATTCATTGACTCAGGCCTTCAGCGAGCATCGAGTGAGTGAAAGTGATACACCTGGCCCCTGCCCTCGTGGAGCTGGTAGCCAGTGGGGACGGCAGGACGCTTTTGGGTGGTGTTGTCAGGTCTCTGATAGGGGATGTGCAGGGAGCCACAGCCTAGTCAGGGCAGCGCCCACCTGGCTGACTCGTTCCTACTTAATGACTTAGTGAAACATGTGTAGACCCTTTAGAACACAAGAGTTTGGGGACATATATGACATGTGATCCCATTTCCGTCACTTCCTTCCATCTGCATGTGTTTGGACCTGTTGAAGGATGCGGGGGAGGCGGGGATTTTCACCAAGATGCACTTGACCTTAATTTTTCACTCATTTCGTGTTTGCAAATCATCTGCTCCCCAACATATATTGGTCACCCCGTGATTTCAGTAATCGCTGCACTTGTGTGGCTGTGTACGGACATGCACAGAGCAGTGAAGAATTGGAGTCGTCAGTGCATGCACTCCTAGCTAAGGTGGAAGAGCGTGCTTCTCTGCCTTCTTTGCTGAGCTTGCATACACACTAAGCAAGTGTCCTTCTTGAGTTGTATTTTGTGCTACGGTTTACAGACTTTGGGTGCTTTTTGTTGGTGATTTTGTTATTTAAAATCACCACTGAAGTGCAAGCAGGCTGGGAAGCATCTATAGAGAACACACATGTATTGCTTCGTTCTGGCATGAGATTTAGAACTGCTGACTGTGAATTCAATATTCATGAACCAACAGCATAAAATTAGTAAGAGGTGCAAACGGAAACACACACAGAACAAGGTTATGTATTCATCAGCTCCCAAAAATGTGGTAACGCAGTATGCCCCGTTAAAAGCAATTGCTCAGTATTTGTTCAGTCTCTATTTATGGTGACCGTGTAGAACAGGGGTTGTCGTTGTTTGTTGATGTTAAGTGCCGTTGAGTCATTTCCAACCCATAGCAACCCCTGTACAGGGTTTCCGAGGAGCGGCTAGTTGAGCTTGAACTGTCGACCTTGAAGTTCAAACCAACTTTGCAGTCCAGCGCATTAACCTACAACACCGCACTAGGACTCCTATACAGCAAGGGTAGGGAACCTTTGTTCTGCCAAAATTTTTAACATAATTCGTGGACCATACGAGAATATCAACATAAAAAATTAGCCTGCTGTATTTGGTCAGACGTTTAATTAACTCACCCCTAATTTGATGGCTGAAGTCCCAGTTTGGCACTATGGGTCAATGCACTGGACTGCAGAATCGGTTTGAACAGCAGGGTCAGTGGTTCACACTCACCAGCTGCTCCTAGGAATCCCTATACAGGGTCACTATGGGTCACAACTGACTCAGTGGCGCTTCACAACAATGTGATGGCTGGAACTGAAGCTGCTTTGATAGGACTAGACCAAATGATTTCGAAGGCCTTATAAGGCCCACAAGCCAGACGTTCCCCACCCGTTATAGAACATAGTTACTGCAAATAATAAAAGCCAACTGTAGTCATCACTTCGCTCTGTGTGGTAGGAATTGAGGTCATTATTCCGTGTTTGAGATGTATACACTAAGCGTGTGTCACTTACACAAACAAAACTATGTTGGAAATCCACACGGAAAGGGGTGTGACAAGAGGGGAGTCCTTGACTGTGGCCAAGCCAATCTTGGGTCTTCCAGCAGGGTCGGTTCCCACAGGGGTCTCAGTAAAGAAGGGCGCTAGAGGGGAGGGGAGCTTGGGGGTTGAGTTAGCTCAGACACTCATTGTACCCACGTAGTCACCCCAGTTTGCTCATGATCTTGGGGCCTCGTGGAAATAAGACTGACCCTGGCAGTCATTTGCTGAGCCTCGTCATGTGACAGACCATGACTAAAGACGTAGCCCTCGTTATCCTGTTTCACCCTCGCAGCCAGCCTTCGGAGCAGACAGTGCAGGTTGCAGATTCCAGGAGCCAGATTCCCTGAGTTCCAGTCCCCTCTCTGTCATTTATCACCTAATAAAAGTAGGGCAAGTTGCACAGCTTTGGTCTGTTTCTGTTTCCTGGTCTGGGGTGTGGGGTAGTCCTGGCTCTTCTACCCATTGCTGTGAGTCTCCAGGAATCACTGCAGGTTGAGCACTTTAATGCGGTACCTGGACTGTTTAATTCCTTAGTAAACGTGCACTTTGAATCATAATGGCATCGAGGAGGGGGAAAGCCAAGGATTTCAGTGACAGGTGTTATTGAGACTGTTGTGCCTCATGGTAACTGCATACATGTGGTTACCATGTCCAGAGTGGAACTGTCCTCGATAAGACTCTCACGGGCTGATTCTTCTTAAGCATATGGCCAGGCCTTGGCACCTCTGGATAGACCTGAACCACCTGGCCAGGCCTTGGCACCTCTGGATAGACCTGAACCACCAGCCTTTGGATTAGCAGCCAAGCACATTAACAAGGGTCTCCAAGCCAAGTTGAAGGGCAGAGAAGTCATTGGTTCAGCTAATGAGTGGCGATTCCCGCATGAAAATGCTTAAAGCTGCTGAAGCATAGCTCCCTAACTGGACGTAACAGGTGTGACCGTCATCCTCTTTCCCATGCAGGTAGAGTTCTGCAAGTCATTTGGGGACCCGACAAAGCCCCGAGCCTGGAGCAAACACGCCCAGAAACCAAGCCTGCCCAAGACGCCTTCAAAAGAGCCTGTTGCCCCAGAAACGAAGCAAGTACGTTTTGTTGGCAAGGTGGGCACAGCCCTGGTCGGGATGGGCAGTGACGATGGAATGTTCTGAGACCCTCCTGGGATGGTTCCAGGAGGTGGACCTCCTCACCTCCTCAGGGCAAAGGCAGCTCCTTTGTCCTGTCCCTCTCAGCCTCTGTCTTCTCTTTCCAGGACGATGAGAAGAAGAAGGTTACCTGTGAACTGGAGAGGGTGAGTCTGCCTTGTGGATCAGAAGGGATCTGGGGGTGGTTCTGGGACGTGTGGGCTGGGCAGGTGAGAGCTGGCCCAGGACTATAATGCCTGTGCACTTTCCCCTCCACCAAGTCCCATGGTTCCCTGAGCTTTGTCTGGGAGGGGTCCAGCCCGTTGTGACCCTTCTCTTCTCTTCTTTCCGCTCCCCTGCTGCCTGTGCTTCGGTACCACCAGCTGAAGGGAGACACTGAGTTCCGGGAGTTCCTGTCAGTCCACCAGAGGCGGACGAAGGTTGCCACCTGGGCAAACGATGCCCTGGATGCTGAACCTGCAAGAGGGAAGAGCAAGCCGGCCTGCGACTACCTGAACTTCGACTCAGACTCGGGGCAGGAGAGTGAGGAGGAGGACACCGGCGAAGGCCCAGGAGGTGAGGGCATCTCTGTGCCTGGACGCAGTCCCTATGTGTACCATCCGGCTGGTCTGTGAGAGGCCCCTGGATGCTAGTCACTGCCCTCTCACTCTGCCCCAGGGCTCTGTGTGTGTGTGTGTGTGTGTGTGTCCCTCAGGCCCTCTGCTCGGACTGGTGCTGGTCACCTCTGTTAGTCTGCAGGCAGTGGGACCTCATGGTGAGTGACAGAGAAGAGAACTCCTGCCCCAGGAGGGTTGTCATTCCAGAGCATGATGAGCAGTCAACACCAGGAAGCTCACAGTTGGGTTCTGTCGTCACAAGAGCGCCAGAGAAAAGACCAGAAATACACCAGGATTGTCCTCAGGGAGGCTCTGGTGGAGGAGAGGCGATGTTTAGATTTGAAATCATATTTTATTGTGATTTCTGCAGAGGTTTAGGTACTCATTCAACAATTTGTACAGATTGTTGGTGACATGGGTTACGGTTTTTACAGTGTATTGGCATTTTCATCATGTCTGTTCTGGTGGTTCCGTTTCCAGGACTCTAGTCTCCGTGCTCCGTTATCTTCTCATGTTGGTTTTTCTAGTAATTGTTGTCTGCTTAGTGTCAGATAAGATGGTTTTTTACAGGAGAACAGGACTCACAGGTGCTATTCTTTAATTAATTTAGCGACAAGGTGACCTCGGGAGCTCATTTCAGTTCAAGGGTTAAAGTGCATCTCAGGGCCAGAGTCTTGTGGGGCCCACTAGCCTCAACCAGTCCAGTAAGTCCAGTCTGTTTAAGACTGTGAGTTCTGTTCCACATTTCTCTCTGCAGTCATGGCCCCTATCAGCACGGTCAGTGACGCTAGTCGTGCCTGAGTCACAGAGATTGTTAGATGAGGTGGTTGGGAGTGTTGAACGGGGTGACGCACGTGGCCTTTGGCAGAAAGGCTGAGACCTGCTCACACTGTCGCTGACTCCATGTTCCTGCGTTGCCAGCTGAGGAAGACCTCACGCCCAAGGCGGCTGTGCAGAAGGAGTTGTCGGACATGGATTACCTGAAATCCAAGATGGTGAAGGCCGAGTTGTCGTCTTCCTCCTCTGAGGAGGATGAAGAAAGTGAAGATGAAGCTGTGAACTGTGAGGAAGGCAGTGAGGATGAGGATAAGGATTCCTCCACTGCCCCAGCCCAGCCGGAAATGGAGAAGAAGAGGGCCAGCCAGGAGCCAGGGGTCCCATCCGGGAAGGGGCCTTCACAGGAAGCCAGAACTGAGGTACTGGGGCTAAGGGGGGTCAAGCACACTTCGAGTTGCCCCAGGCTCCTCTGTTGTCAGGTGTGGCGGGCAGAGTGGAGGAGAGGCGATGTTTAGTCCAAAGGCCAGGCTTCCAGTCTCAACCTTAGCATGTGCTTACTGTGTGACATTGGGCAAGTCACTGCCACTCTCTGAGTTTCTTCCCCTTTACCTGGAGTTGCTGCCTGCCTTCCTTGGTTTGTGGGGCATACATAAGCTAGATCACAATGTGAGAGTCGTGTGCTTGGAATTTCGTAACAGTGTAGACAGATGAGCCATCATTGAAGATACCGGGTAAAGTTAATTGAGCATCTACTGTGTGCTAGGAACCTTGCCTGCTGTGTTATTGCAAAGCATAACAATATGTGGAGTACGAATTCTGCTTGTTCCATTTTACAGGTCAGGAAGCTGAGGCCTAGTCTAGATCACACTTCTCCTCCCACCTCACATCCTCTCTGCTTCAGAGACAGGTTTTGCCGTGGGTCCCTTTCCCTTCCCTTCCAGAGAGAACCCTGTACACAGCATTTCTGCTCCTTCAGTTCAGAACTCCTGGCTCTGTCCCCCTCCTCTCTCCTCCCACAGAGTTGTTGTGGGTTCACATCCCAGCTGTGATGCTTAATAACAGTTTGATCCTGGCTGTGATGCTTCATCTTGGTGAGCCTTTAACCTTCATCTATAAAAGGGAAGCTCATCATGGCTCTGGCTCCTGAATCCCAGCTCCCAATGCTGGGAGCCTAGTGTGCTTGGGAATGCAGAACTTTTCACATTTCAGAAAACACTGTATTCTGTGCAATCTGGCACTCCTGGTTGGACCTGGGGCAGCAGTTCATAATCAAGCACATGCATTTCTGCAGGAAAACGTATGTTCAGTCATACTATATACGCAGCGTTTGAGTCCCTGGGTGGTGCAAACTGTTAACGTGCTTGGCTGTTAGAGGTTTGAGTCTCCCTCAGAAGAAAGGCCTGGCATTGTCCTTCTGAGAAATCGGCCATTGAAAACCCTGCGGGCCACAGTTCACCTCTGACACTGAATCACCATGAGGCAGAGTCAACTCAGCAGCAACTAGTTAGTAGTTATAACGAGTTTAATAATGGCTCAAGTCCAGCTTCACTGGCAAATGAGTGCAGGCCATGGCAGGTTTTGTTGCCTAGTGGGCTACCAAAAACATTTGTTTTTTTTTCAAAGTTTCTGGGATTCCAGAGTTACAAGAACAAATCATAAACCCGTAGTCCTTCTAGGATTGTTACAAAGAGTTAGCCAGCCAGTGTCTGTAGCGCACTTGGTTCGGAGCAAGGCTGGCATCATTGACAGCAAGTAGTGTTGGCCTTAGGAGTCTTGGTGTGGCGCTGTGGATTAATGCGCTGGACTGCAAAGTTGGTTTGAACCGCAAGGTCAGCAGTTCAAGCTCACCAGCTGCTCCTCGGAAACCCAATACAGGCTCATTATAATTCAGAACTAACTGGACAGCACTTAACAGCAACAAAATTGTTGTCCTTCAGGGCCGCCTCCTTTGAGTCTGGTTCCTGAGAGCGTGCCCAGTGCTGGCCGGACTCTGGTCCAGCCCCTTCTCGGGTACACACAACGGCTGCACTCTCCCATCTCCACCTCTGCCCAGACTCTGCCTCTGTGTTAGACACAGAGCCTGGTGGGCATTCCCGGGCTCCCTCATCAGACACTTGACCGTGCATGTTTGTGTCTTCTTTGTGGTCATGCAGATGGAGAAACCAGCCACCCAGAAGGAGTCCACCACCCCCCACACCGTGAAGCTGCGGGGGGCCCCGTTCAATGTCACAGAGGTGTGTGTTCACTGAGATCAAGGGCAAGCAGAGCCCCCTGTGGATGAGAGGCAAGGGTGGGTCTAGAGCATGGGTGCCTGTGATGAGCTGAGGACGGGAGCTGGAAGGGATCGGGGACCAAAGGATGAAGAAACAAGGACAATTACCAAGATGGTGGCAGACTGGCCTCACACCCTGACTGACTATGCCAGGACTCAGCAAGCTTTTCTGTTAAAAAAAAGAGAGGGAAGCTGGTAACTACATAAGGGTTTGTGGGTAGGAAGAGGAACCCAGGTGGTATGGTGGCTACGCACTCAGTTGTGAACCCAAAGGTCAGCAGTTTGGAGCCATCAACCACTTAGTGAGGGGAAGATGCGGCAGTCCATAAAGATGTTTAGCCTTGGAACTACTCCGGGGTAGTTCGCATCTGTCCCCTGGGGTTCCTGTGAGTTGTAATCCATTCCATGGCAGTAGGTGGGTGCTCTGGTGTCTGTCACAACCGTAGGAGCCTTTTGTGTGGCCCAGGGACTCCTTGTGATGACCAGATGCAGGATTTAAGGGCGAGAGAGAGACGCGGAAGGGAGGGGAAAGGCCCTGGAACTCTCTCTAAAGCCCAAAACCTGTCTCTCTGCTGGATTGCACCTTTCTTTCCTTCACTGGACTGAGGAAAGGGGGAAAACCTTTTTTCTTCACACAGAAAAATGTGACGGAATTCCTGGCACCTCTGAAACCAGTGGCCATTCGGATAGTGAGAAATGTGCATGGGAACAAAACAGGTAAGGGTGGGATGTTTCCAGGAGGGCCCGAGAGGCAGACTGAAGATGGGAGGTGTGGCAGTTGAAGAAAGTTTAAGGGTGACCATCTTTCCCCAGGAATTTACCTCTTGTCACCTGCCCCTGAAGCTGGAGAACAGTAATACAGTCTTCCTGTGTTTCCCTCCTCTCCTCCAGCCTGTGCACTTTCAGGTGTACTCACCTGTTCCGTTGACAGGGATGTGAACAGTCCTAGGCTGTGTAGGGCTAAGTCCTTTGGCCACTCTACTGGCAAGCAGTGGTGTGAGATGCTGAGAATTGACACTGGTAGTGCCGTCTGTACTGGGATACTGTAGCAGGGCATCACAGGCTCAGCTCCGACACGAGCCTTGGGATCTTGGACAAAGTACTTGGCCTTGGTTTCTCCATGAGTGCTCTAGGGACAAAGAAGGCTGTTTGTTCAGTGTGAGCATCAACTGAGTTAATACTCCATGTCCCAACTTGACCAGGGAGCGCACAATGGCCAGGTATCAGTGCAAGTGTAGAGGAAGCTCAAGGGCTCCTATGTTGCTGACTCCATGTCCAGAGTCTTCAGCCACAAAGCCAGGCCACAGGCCTCCACACTCCCCCACCAAATGCAATTTGCCGGGAGGGTGGCAAAGATACCCGTCTCCCCACTCATCTCTGCTCAGACGTCCCCAAGTCCCTAGTGTGTGTGTGTGTTCATCTGCGATGCCCAATTAGTGCTTGCAGGCCTGCAGCCCTTACCCAGTCATTGTGCCCCTCTCCCCCAGGTTACGTGTTTGTGGATTTCAGCAGTGAGGAGGAAGTGAAGAAAGCGTTGAAGTGCAACAGGGAATACATGGGTAAGAGAGCCCTGGTGGGTTCTGATGGAGTGTTTGCTCTGTGCTAGGCACTGTGTTGGGCTCTGAGAGACAGCCATGAGCAGACAGGCATAGACCCTGCCCTCAGGAACCCAATCACCCGCAAACAGCATGGGCTACCAGGTGAACAGGCAAGAAAAGTCAGGGGAACGGAAACGCTGTGCTGGATTAGAGAAGTAAAGCCCCCCGAGTGCTTGGCCTCTGGGAGACGTAGACCAAAAATTCGCCTTTCCAGACCTCCCTAACTATTTCTGGAAGGGCTATTATTTTCTAAATTAAAGAAAATAAAGAGAGCAGGATGAAAAAAGCAAGACAGAGCCCTTACTCTGGACAAATGTTCAGCCTACGAGGGTTCTGGAAAAGATAGGTCCCGAGGGGAGGAGCATAGTTACAACAGTTGTGTCTGTTTGGGCCTCACGGAGAAGAGGATATTGCAGTAGCACCCAGAGGGGTCCAGGGAGCTGACTGTGGGGGGCTTGGGGTACATGTAGAAGAAGCAACAAGCATGAGGTCACCTGGATGACAGCCAAGGACACGCGATCTTTGACCATGGATGAGTGGTTCGGGTCTGACCATGGACCCAGGGTGAAGTCATGAGTTCTGTTAGGGAGGGCGGAGAAATCTAAGGGGTCTAATTAGAAGACCAGTTGGTGGGTGGGAAATGTGTGTGTAGGGACAGTCATGGTTCAGTTGGGCACACAGAACAATGAATAGTTTTAGGAATAGGACACAGAAGTTGTCCGGTGTTACATGGTCACATAAGACCTTTTCCAAAGCAGGAGAGCCACAGTGCCTGGCCTGCTAGACAAGAAGTGCTGGAATTCATAGGCTACATCACCATGGTCTGGGCTGACTCTTAACAGGCCTTCCTGCAGAACCTGGAGGATGAGTAGGGTCCAGGGCTTTCTGATTAGACACTGGCATGCAGGTCTGGCCCCAGAGGGTGGGGTCAGGTGTTGTCATTTGGCACCTTGACCACAGCATCTTGGTGAACAGCAGAGAAGATTCTGGAATCCCCAGTTGGGTCACTGACATGAGCTCTGACCTGTGGCTCTTGTAGGCGGACGCTATATCGAAGTGTTCCGGGAAAAGGGAGTTGCCACGGCCAAGGGGCCCCTGAAGAAGTGTGCCAAGTCCTGGCAGGGCCGGGCCCTTGGGGAGAATGAGGAGGAGGAGGACCTGGCCGACTCAGGGAGGCTCTTTGTGCGAAACCTGCCCTACAGCAGCTCCGAGGAGGAGCTGGAGAAGCTCTTCTCCAAATACGGTAGGGCGCCCACCAGCTCTTGGCCTCGGGCAAATTGTCTCTGTTTTCTCATCTATAAACTGGGCCTAGCTCCCCTGGCACTGCTGGGTGGAGTGAGCCACAGGATGTGTGGGGGAGCTTGGGGAAGTTCGTGGAATTAAAAGATAGCGGGATTTCTTTCCGCAGTCAGGGGTCAGCAGGGTGTACACCACGATCACAGCACAGGTGGTCTTCAGCTGCTAGAACTCTTACTCTCTCCCTGTCCACACTCAGAGCCAGAGCAACTTGGATGTCTGTTTTGAGATCCCTTGAACCTCCATCACTGTGGGTCTGAACAAAGCAGTGTCTCACTCTGTGTCTCTGTGTCTCACTCGCCACTCCGTGTCCTAATAGATTTGGCAGCTAGGCCTGTTGTTAGAGTTGCGGTGGTTTTGCTGTTTTTTATTAGCGCTTCTCGGGACAAGAATGTGAAGGCTTGGTGTACAAATTGGTCTCACAAGCCTGCCTTTGTAGAGTTGCAGTTGTAGAAGAGAAAGAAGTGAAAATGGTTCGCACGGGGTGAGGTCTTGATGCTTTCAAGGTCCCCTACCGTGTCTCCCACTCTTGGACTCCTGGCAGCTGTGGGTTGTGGAGGACCACATAGGTTTGTTCAGGGTTGGGTGTGACTTCTGAGCCTGTGTCCGCTGCTGCCTAGCCTGCTGGATCCTTCTAGACTTGTACCCTGCCTCACCGCGGCGCAGGGATAGGTGAAGAGAGTGAGAAGGGGCGTGGCCACACCTGCTGCTGGGAGTGGAACCTCGCTGATGAAGAAGCAGTGTGCCTTTATTGGGGAATGCTGACATTACAGTAAACATTTACATCTGTTGCCATGACCCAGGCACTACTCAGAGTGGGAACGCATAGAACCCTCCCCACTGTTCTATGAGTTAGGTCCTCTTACTGTCCCATCTTACAGATTAAAAAACTGAGGCACATGGAGGCCAGTTCCCTTGCACAAGGCCACATGTGTTGTAATAAGATTTCAGCCCCGGTGCCTTGACTCCATCCTGCCTCTGCTCTTAGTATCCTAAGATAATATACCTGGGGCTTCATTGAGTTCGTGGAAAAGTGGGATTCAAAGAGAGGGGAATTTTTCCACAAACATCTTGAAGTACCCTCACAGAGGACTGTGAAAGGTCTTTGAGGCTGGGCTCGCAGCAGGTGTAGGCAGTGGCCGACCCAGCGCAGTCATTCCAGGCTCTTACCTGTTAGGACCAATCTCCAGTCATTTCAATAGTGCTCAACACTGCTTTCACCCAGACTCAGTCCCAGCCCTCGACGTAGGAGACTGACCCCCGCCCTGTCCCCAGGTCCCCTGTCTGAGACTGACCCTGTCCTGTTCACAGGTCCCCTGTCTGAGACTGATCCCATCCTGTCCCCAGGTCCCCTGTCTGAGACTGACCCTGTCCTGTCCTCAGGTCCCCTGTCTGAGACTGATCCCGTCCTGTCCCCACGTCCTCTGTTTGAGACTGACCCAAGTCCTGTTCCCACATCCTCTGTCTGAAACTGACCCCCATCCTATCCTCAGGTCCCCTGTCTGAGACTGACCCCCATCCTATCCTCAGGTCCCCTGTCTGAGACTTACTCCCATCCTGTCCTCAGGTCCCCTGTCTGAACTCCATTACCCCATCGACAGCCTGACCAAGAAACCCAAGGGTTTCGCCTTCATCACCTTCATGTTCCCTGAGCACGCAGTGAAGGCCTACGCAGAAGTAGACGGCCAGGTGTTCCAGGTGAGTGCCTGCGCTGCCGAGTGCACCTGCATGTATGTGTGTGTGTGAGAGAGACCATGCCTCAGGCCTGACAGCACTCATCAATGGCATGCCTGCTGTGAAGGGAAGGTTACCCATGGTACATGTAAGCTGAGGCTGGGTCAGATGAGCCATCACGGTGTTAAGTCCCATGTCCCAGTCATGGTGGTGACCACAGGCTCACACACTACCTTACATTCCATCTGCCAGGCAGCGTCTCCACGCTGATCCTACCCTGCCCGCACGAGGGTGACCTTTGGCTTACCCACTTCCTCTTGTCGCCCTCCAGGGCAGGATGCTCCACGTGCTGCCGTCCACAATCAAGAAGGAAGCCAGCGAGGACGCAGACACCCCGGGATCCTCGTCCTACAAGAAGAAGAAGGAGCTCAAGGATAAAGCCAACAGCTCCAGGTCCTTGTCACCTGCTCATGGTCTCTGAGGCACCTTCTCTTTCTGGCCTTCCAGGCTTCTCCTACTCCCTCATGGGTTTCCTCTCACCCGTAAACTTGCTGAACCTCAGTCTCCTCATCTGCAGTATGGGAAGAGTAGTGCTGCCTCAGTTTTAAGTGGCTGTAAGGACGAAATGAGTGAAAACAAGGGGGTTCCAAAGAATTTTGGAAGCAAATGGAATAGAAGGGGAATGAACGTTTCCTGCAGACTTTGTGGACCACCCCCTGCTCCCCCCATCCACGCAGAGTGCTTAGTCCTGGCACAGAATAAGTGCCTGACAGATGTTTATTGTTGTAATCATTGAGCTGGCTGTAACCATGGCACCTCCACACACAGCAGAGTGAAGAGCTGTCCAGTCGTGCGCCATCCCAGGGTTGGATGCGCATCGTGATCTGGAGCGTTTTCATTGTCTGAGTTTGGGAAGTATATCACCAGGACATTCTTCCTAGTCTGTATGAGTTAGGGAGCTAGGGAAGATGAGGTAGTGCTAATTCAGTGGAAGAATGTGGGAGTCTTGGGTTTGATTCCTGGTCCAGCACACACCTAGGCCCAGCACCTGCCTGTCAGTGGGGGCTTCTGTGTTGCAATGACAACCAGCAGGTGTCATTAACACCAGAATGACTCTCGCTTTCTCTGGGTTCTGTGTACCTAGCTCGTGACGGGTATGTTGCAGAGAGAAGTTTGCTTTCCAGGCTCAGAAAGCACTGTGAGCCCATTTCTCCAAGGTTTGGGTTTTGAGAACGTGTTCTCCTCGCTCAGTGCGGGCTGACTTCCTGTTCTGCCCCTCAGCTCTCACAACTGGAACACGCTGTTCATGGGGCCTAATGCCGTGGCCGATGCCATCGCCCAGAAGTACAACGCCACCAAGAGCCAAGTGTTTGACCACGTGAGTGAGAGGTCCTTGTCACCTTTCTGACTCTGGGTCAGGCTCGAGGGGAGACAGAACCAGCGCAAAAGCAATGGGGGTAGAGGGTTTCTGTCCTGGGCTAAGTCTTCCCCGAGCTCTGGGCCTCTCATTCAAAGTCGCAGGGATCTTCTGGGTCTTCCTGGAGGATCCTTGGTGAGCATTTTCCCCAGCATGATCCCAGGCTACCCCGTGCCCTGGCTTCTCGTTGTGTGGAGCTTGTGTTGGCAGGGAACTCTCCTGGTACCCAGCTGCTCTGGGCACATGTCTGGTCTCCTCGGGTCCATGTGCACGTCAGTCCTCACAGCAGCCCTACAGTGTAGGTGCTCCTGCTGGCCCCATTGTCCACATGAAGAAACCAAGGCCCGAGGACAGAAAGTAGCCTGCTCAGGCTGGAACGAGGTGCGGTCTGCGGACCACAGTGCCCTGACCTCTCTGAGAGGCATCTAGCCCTCTGCTCCCAGATTCTGTTCCCCATTTCCTCCGTCTCTGAGAGCAACAGAAGAGAGTCATTGGTCTGACACCTGATGACCCCATGCGTGTCAGCTAGATCTGTGCTCCTCAGACTGGTCAAAGGCTGGTTATTTTTTCAGGAGATCACCAGGGCTTTCTTCCAAGGTACCTCTGGATGGGTTTGAACCTCCATCCAAGGAGTCTGGGTTCCATCAGTCTAGGTGGGGGATACATTGAGGACTCTGTCTTTACCCAGGCCTCCTCCTCAGGCTGGTGAGAATGAGGAGGACAGACTGGCAGTAGCCCACAGGGCCTCTTGCTTCCCTCCGCCACAGGAAACCAAGGGCAGCGTGGCTGTGCGCATGGCCCTGGGAGAGACCCAGCTCGTCCAAGAAGTGCGCCGCTTCCTCATAGACAACGGGGTCTGTCTGGATTCCTTCAGCCAGGTGGGTGCTCCCTGCCCAGCTCAGCGAGCCACCAACCACTTATGACCATCCCCATTTGGGAGGTGCTTGTGGGCCTGTGGACCCAGTCCATCAGAAGGTATTAGGATACAGGTTTCCATTGTCTCTAAAGAAAGTCAGAATGTCAGCTGGGCTCAGACCTTGACTCATGCCACTGGGACTCTGTCACTTAGGGACCGTGGTCTGCCCACACAGATCACTGTCCTTTCTCCCCTGCCAGTCTGGAAACAGCTTCAGACCAGTGCCATAACCTGGCTCATTCCCTCCCCGCAGGCCGCAGCAGAACGAAGTAAGACTGTAATGCTGGTCAAGAACCTCCCTGCCGGCACCCTGGTAGCCGAGCTGCAGGAGCTGTTTGGCCGTTTCGGCAGCCTAGGCCGCGTGCTGCTGCCGGAAGGTGGCATCACCGCCATTGTGGAGTTCCTGGAGCCCTTGGAGGCCCGCAAGGCCTTCCGTCAGCTCGCCTATTCCAAGGTAGGTCTGCCGTGAGCCTCGGAGCAGGGGAGAGGCTCCTAGTGCTAGGTGCTTGTTGGGAAGTGCCATGGAGTCGGTTCCAAGTCCTAGCGACTCGGTGTAGAGTTTCTGAGTAGCGTAGTGCTGACCATAACCACCCACTGATCTCCTGATTGTGAATGTTACCCCTGCTGTCCCCATCGCCACTCTCGGGAACCATTCTGAGTGGGAGGTTTGGGAGAGGTCAGTTCTGACCTTTCCTCCAGGAGGAGTGCTGCTTCCGTCTGACTCTGGCTCTCCTTTCCTGTTTTTTCCCTGCTAATCGGAATCATCACCCTGGATCCGTGGAGAGGCAGTTCTGGTAGAGCTATCTCCTGCATCTTGATTAAAAAGAAAAGATACAGCTGTTTATTCGTTTTCTATGGTAGCGTAGTGGTTACGAATCGGGCTGCGAACCTTAAGGTCAGCGGTTCGAAACTACCAGCCGCTCCGCGGGAGAAAGATGAGGCTTTCTACTCCCGTAAAGATTTACACCCTCGGAAACCCTGTACAGGGTCGCTATGGGTCGGACCCGACTCGATGGCACTTAACAACAACATGCTTGCCGTAACAGCCCAGTGGCTTAAGATAACAACAGTTTCTTCTCTCACATTTCTGGAGGCCTCAAGTCCAAAATCAAGGTGTCGCCAGTGCCATGCTCCGTTGTAAACTCCTGGCATTCCTTGGCTAGCGGCAGCATCACTCCTTCATGGGGACTTCTTGTCTCTCTTCCTGTCTCTTCCCTGTGTGTCTTGTGAAGAAGCTTGTCCTTGGGCTTCAGGCTTCCTGCATCACCCTGGATGGTCTCACCCTGAGATGTTCAACATAATGACATCTGCAAAGACACTTTTTTGAATGAGGTCCCAGGCTCTGAGCATTAGCACATAGATATGGGTTTGGGGTTTTTATTTTGCATGGTGGGTGGGGGAGGGGGAGCACTGTTCCATCTGCCTCAAGGAGGCTCTTCAATGCTTTGTAGGCCATGGTGCCCCCCGTCCATGGAGCAATGTGGCATCCACTCTTTACCTCCATCCTTGCTCCCAGCTCAGGCCTCTGTGCCCAGGAAGTTCTTCTTAACTGGTTCTAACAGACACAGTCTCTCTTACTGCACTGTGCGTGCTTGCGTGTAGTATGGGGGGGTGGCGGGGAGAGTGTGGTCAAGTCTCCCCACCCCCAACCCATCCCACAGCCACCTGCTAATAAGATGTTAATAGCATAAAATAAGATGCTATTAATGTCTTATTTAACGGTCAGAGAAACACTGTGTGTGTGCACTAGTGTGCGTGTACTGTGGTGTTGATTCCCACTCTTAGCAATGCCGTGGCGCAGAGGAGAACTGTCCGTCAGGCTTTCCATGCTGTCGTCTCCGTGGCAGCAGATTGCCTGGTCTTATATGAAGCTGCTGAGAGTTTTGAACTGCCAATCTTTGGGTTAGCAGTCAAGTGCTTGACCACCGTACCACCAGAGCTCCTTGTATAAGTGCTGCTCTGCTAGGAGAGAGCATGTTCTCTTGGCCACTGTCCTCAGGAAACTTGCCCTTTTTCCGGGGCTCTTGTCTCTCTTCGTCACATTCCCAAGTTCCTACTCTGATGAAACGCAAGGGAGCCTTGGATCTGCCACGTATACAATGACAACAGGCTTATTAGCAGTTGAAGATCCCAAGGGTCATGAAGTCCAGGCGACTCCCCGAGGAGCAGAGTGGGAAGAGGGTGGAACAGGACCTAGAGCCCTCCATGTTGCCCAGGCCCAAGTGTTGTTTCAGGATCAGGCAGCATGGAGGGTTCTGGGCTCCCTCGGGGAGTCACCTGTACTGCCTCAGGCTGTGCTGGAGCGGGTGACCAGGCCCCTCCCTCCCACTCACATGCCAGCTCCCTGTCTTGCAGTTTCACCATGTCCCCCTGTACCTGGAGTGGGCTCCCATGGGCGTCTTCTCCAGCTCGGCCCCGCAGAAGGGAGAACCCGGGGTGGCACCCGCAGATGTAGACAAGGTGGAGCCAGAAACAGGTGAGAGCTGCGCCTCAGCTTGGGTGGGTGGGTGGGGACGGGTAGGCGGAGCATGTCGAGCTTCATTTTCCATCTTAGACTCTTGTGGACATGCACAATTGTTTTAAAGAGAGTGTAAAAATGATGGGTGTTAATTAAAGCAATTAAAGCTATTTTGAAAACTACACTAAGGATGTATTCATAGGGATTCAAGCCCAAGCAGATGAAAAATGCCTTTTTCTTTCACATACTGAGCAGGATGCTTTGTGATTGAAGGTGACTTTAGTAGTGTCCTTGGCATGGCACAGCCACCCCCTGGTGTCTGGTGACAGCAAAGACAGTAGGAAAGGGAACCATGGCCCCTTGGGCCAGGCAGAGCCACCAGCCGAGCCCTTTGCTAATGTTATTGGTGTTGGCGGACTGGTGACATTTGGGCCTGGATAGTTCTTCCTTGTTCTGGATTGTTCTGCAAGATGCAGGACATTTAGCACCCCTGACCCCTACCCACTGAATGCTGTGCGTGGCCTTATGCCACAAGTTGACAGCTTGTTAGTCTAGAAACCTTGACTATGTGTGCGAATCAAAGGCTTTTAGGAAAGCTGGACAGGTCTGTGGAGGTCATTTTCCCCGGACAGTGAAGGTTTTTTGCCCACGAATACCTCCCTCATACCGGGTTACTGGTTGGTTCCTTTATTAAATAAGAATTTCTAAAAACAAGACAGATAATAACTTTCCCATCTTACCTCTCCACTAGTCTAAAAAAACGAAGAGTTTCATTTTAAAAGAAAGAGGAGGAAAGAAAAAAATCTGGGAGTCAAGGAACAAACTGCTCAGATTCAAGAACAATCCTTTCCATTGAAGAGCTTTCTGGGTATAAGATCTCCTCTCTCTTTGGTCTGTATTTCCCATGTCATCGAGACGGGTAGACCTCAGGACCAGCCCGATCAGTACAGGGCTTAGGGGAACTCTGATCTGAAAGCCTTGTTCCACCTGAAGAGTAAGCACCGTCAGTCTCTTAGCTCTTTGAGGATTCAAAAGGCATCCCTAGTTACTGGGGTTAACGAGCTTTGGTGTAAAACCTTTGGCAGCTTCTCCCTACCCCTGTGCTTGTGAGTTAGTTTTGTCTGCAGGTTGGAGGAGAGTTTCCGTCATGCCGCGTGTCTGCTTCCATCAGAAAACCTTGTATGTGGGTTTACACCTTCTCTTCACTCACCACTTACTGAAGTCTTCACCGACCTTGACTTTCATTGCTGTTACTCCCCTTGAACCTGAGTAACAACTTCTTAGCCAGTGGCCAGTGCACATAGTTAAAAGCACAAAGCTCGCCAGTAGAACCCCTTCTCGCATCTGGGGGATTCTGAGATAATAGAAGTGTTTGCTGGGGTCGGGGATTCAAAATGATCTGCAGTACAAAGAGGGAGGCTTCTTGATCTTAAAGCATGCCCCCACCCTATTCCTAGAACCCCCTGGTTTCCGTGGCCCCGGGTTCCTTTGACAGCCCCCACAGTTTGTGGCTGAGCATCTCAGATTCTTCCTCCTGAAAGACCCCACCTCTCCAAGGGGACAGTTGTGAACAGCACACAGGCGGCCCCTGATCCTCGAGCCTCACAGATCCTATCTCAGGGTCTCCATGGTGTCCTTTCTGGTCCATTTCATCCACGTCTCTAGCATGCGGCCCCTTTCCACTTGCTAGGCCATGTCTGGGTCTGGCTTACCGTTGCAGTGTGGAGTGGCAGAAGGCAGACATGCAAATACGGAGGCCCGCATGAAGGGAGAGCATGGACTTAGCTTCTCCCCCCATTTCTGGAAAGCTCTCCGACACTTGGTACCCATCCCGAGGGAGGGGGACAGCGTGTTTTATCTCCCCACAACCAAGACCCTCACCTCCAGATAAAGGGCTCTGAGTGGGGGGAGGTGCTGGAAAGCTGCTCGCGACTGATAACAGTCTCTACTGTCGGCGAGCTGGCGGAGGGGAGGGCGCCGCAGGGACTTCTGCGGCCTGATTATAATAAAGCCCCATGTGGCTCCACGTGACTGGATTTGATTGTGTAAACTGCAGATGGAAGCACATCCTCCCTGTTCTCCCAAGCCCTCCTACCCTCTGCACAGCCCCCAGCCCAGCCCCGCTTCCTTTCTTTCCTCCCTCTTTTTCTGCTTCCTGGTGATTTTGTTGGCAAATATCTGTGTGTACCTCACAATGCCTTGTATTTTTTTTCCAGTTTTTCATTGGTCTCCCCAGGTGGGGCTGGGAGCAGAGGTGCTCTGTCAGATGCCCCCTGATCCTGTCGCCTTGGCGCTAGTGTGGCCTCTAGGGGTATGGGGGGTAGCAGGAATGTGGCCCCCAGGGTCCTAGACTTGGAATTGTGGGGCTGGCTGTCACAGGGATAGGCCAGCTGTCTAGTGTCTCCTGGCCACAGGGTTGGGGACGTTTCTCCCTGGGTCTCATCGGGGCCTGCCTGGGAGAGGTGATGTTAGGAATAGCACTGTTGCTTACTAGGTGCTCATACCAAAGGTCATGGAGATGGCACAGCACTGGGCAGTGTTTCGTTCTGACACGTAACGGCCCCCCCTACTCCAGGATGACTCACAGCAATACCATTGGCCCCACACTGGGCTAGCAGGCATGTCTCAATCAGCCACGTCTGTAGGGCAGGGCTGCCTCTGGGGCCCCTGCAGGCTGGGGGTGGCCACCTGGCTCTGAAACAGCAAGGGTGACAGTGGGAGAGTCAGGCTGCTCTGTGGACATGCTGTCTCCTGGAGGGTATGGAAATGGTGGTTTCAGAGGCCCTGGGTTGTGAGACTTGGAAATCAGGGAAAGGAACCAAACTGAACATATTTCCTTCCAGTGGGGCTCCTCCGGTTATGGCACTGCCTGTACCCACCTCAGAGGCTTCCAGTCGCCCAGGATCCTGTCCCAGCCCCTGAGGACCCTCCCGTCCCCTGGCTCCCTGTACCCCATTACCACCTACCCTCTATCACTCACAACTTCATATTTGCTCTTCCTTCTCCCTGAAAAAGGAGTCCTAGTGATATTGTGATTAAGCATTCGACTACCAACTGAAAGGTTGGCTGTTCAAACCCACCAGCTGTTCTATGGAAGATTAGACAGTCTGCCTCTATAAAGATTGTGCTCGTTAACCGTCATCGACTTGGTTCTGACTCAGCCACCTAGGATTTTGAATTTGAACTGCCGACTTCTCGGTTAGCAGTCCTATACTTAGCCTTCAGTGCCACACCAGAACCTTCCCAACCCCACAATAAACACTACAGCTTTGAAAACCCAATGGAGTTTTGTATCTTATAGGGTCGCTGTGAGTCAGAATCGACTTGACAGGAGTAGGTTTGGGTTCCCCCTGAAATGCTGTTCCTTCGGTCAGTGATAGTACAAAGGGGTACAACCAACAGGAAGAAGCTGTTCTCCATTGTGTGTAGGTACAACCGCACACTTACACATACACTCCATAAGGTAATGGGCCATGGCGGTTTTAATGGCTGTTAACATCTCCTAGACTCGAGGAGTGTTGAGGGTGGTCTAATTTTTGCTCCCATTTTGTCATTTTTGAAACGTTACCAGTTATCTCTCCTTTTCTTTTGAAAATTCACTGAGTGCTAGCTTGTTGTATTGTTGCTCAGGAAAACGGTCACGTTTTGTGTAGAGTCATGGTTCAGTGGCACCGTTCAAGTGGCGTTTATGTGAGCATCCTGATACCTGTGGTTTGTCCGGTTTCTGGTTGTTTCGTGTTCCTGAGACCCAGCCCAGGCTGGGAACTGAGGTGTCGTCTTGGTGGCGGTATTCACAGCCAGAACCCCCGATCTAGCAGGGGCTGTGCTCCAGGCCCTGGGGCTGTGGCAGATCCTTGTTCAGTTACCTCGGAGGCAGCAGCATGTCACATCACAGGATGACATGCCACTTAATCCTGTGCCGCGCCTTTGTGACCGTCTCAAGCTGTGTTTGAGTCCACGATTATGAATCAGATACCATTTCATGGATTTCTTTTTTTTTTGTTGCGGGGGTCCTAGTACCAGACAGTGAGACCTCAGAAGGTGACAAGCTAACAGAGGTGGAAGCCAATGACTCTCCAGCAAAGATGGAAGAAGAGGAGGAGGAGGAAGAGGAGGAGGAAGAAGAGAGTCTTCCAGGGTGTACCCTGTTTATTAAAAATCTGCATTTCGACACCACAGAGGCGACTTTGAAGGAAGTGAGTGATTTGTGTTCTGGGAAGACGGAGGGCTAAGGATTGGGATGGGAAACCCCATATTTACTGCATTGGTTCTGCCTTTAAACATGACCTAGTAAGTGACCCCGGATCTCATGTAGTTTAATGACAACCAGTAACCACCTCCTTATGTCTCCATTGGGCTGTCCAGTCAACCCCTCGACTGGGGACTTGAGCTGCGCGAGACCACACCGTGGCATCAGGGGGGACCCCATACACTTAGCAGGGGCATATCAGCAGGCCTGAGGGAGCTGGTTGTAGTTGTTAGATGCCATTTGGAGTCAGTTCCGACTCAGCGACCCCACATACGACAGAATGAACTGCTACCCAGCATAGCACCATGCCTTCAGTCGGTATGTTTCCGCCCATTGTTGCTGCCACCAAGTCAGTCCATCTATCACTGACCCTCTGCTCTATCAGTTCCTGACGTAAGGCTCACCAGCCTCGCTTCTAAGGAGCATTCTGGCTGGACAGATTTCTTCATTCTTCTGGCCATCTGTGATACTTCCAGTATTCTTCACCAGTACCATAATGCAGTTTTAAAACGTTCTTCAGTCTTCCTTACTAGCTGAAGACTGGGAAGTAGAAAAGGTATAGTCAGTCTTACGATTCTTCAGTTATAGGACAAATGCCCCCCAAAGGCCCTCCTGGCTAAAGGGGACACATACATCAGCATGTGTGTCTGCAGGGACCCTGGGTGGGCGAGATTTCTGAATCTATGGGAGGACGACGGGTGGGGGTGGGAAGCTTGGGAACACGGAGTGGTGATTTGTTGTTAGGTGCCATCGAGTTGGTACTGACCCATAG